AGCCCTGTGTGATGATGCAAATGTATTTCAGGCTCTGGAATGCTCCCTCCTGAGCAGGTTTTGGCCCCTGCTGAGCAGCACCGACCCGGGGGTCACCCACCTTCTGGTACTGCCGGTTGCAGACCTCAGCGAGGTGCAGCCCCGTCACGACCCCCAGCCGCGCCGCCAGCCGCTGCAGGAGCAGCCCGATCACAGTCGCCAGCATCAGGACCCACAGGAGCTGGGGGAGACACAGGGTGGGGTGTGTGAGTGTGATGGATCCCTGTGCCCCAAAAGCAACTGTAGGAATCCCAGGTGTAGGGACACCTTCCACTAGAGCAGGTTGCTCCAAGCCCCTGTGTCCAACCTGGCCTTGAACACTGCCAGGGATGGGGCAGCCACAGCTTCTCTGGGCACCCTGTGCCAGCGCCTCAGCACCCTCACAGGGAAGAACTTCTGCCTAAGAGCTCATCTCAGTCTCCCCTCTGGCAGGTTAAAGCCATTCCCCTTGTCCTGTCCCTCCATCCCTTGTCCAAAGCCCCTCTCCAGGTTTCCTGGAGCCCCTTTAGGCACTGGAGCTGCTCTAAGGTGTCCCCTTCAGGAGCCTTCTCTTCTCCAGCTGCCCCAGCCCAGCTCTCTCAGCCTGGCTCCAGAGCAGAGCTGCTCCAGCCCCGCAGCAGCTCCGTGCCCTCCTCTGGCCTCACTCCTGCGGCTCAAGAGCCTCCCTCTGCCCTTCCCTGGGCTGTTCTCAGCTCAGCCCCAGAGCACTCTCAGCTCTAAACCACGCAGGGTTACAGGGTCTCCACAACCAGCAGCGTTTCATCTGTGGGTTTCTGCACTGACCTTGAAGCCTGCGACAGCCCCGGACTGTAAATCCGACTCGATGTTCCCTGGATCCAGGTAAGCAATGCTCATCAGGAACCCCGGCCCCGTGAAAGCCCAGAGCTTGCGGAAGCTGAAGCATGATTGCTATGGGGAGAGCATGGACACAGCACAAGTCAGCCCTGGAGCCACCAGGGGCATGAGGAAGGTCAAGAAACACCCCAGGGCTTGGTTTTCGTTGCCTCAATGCACTGCTAAGACCAAGCCTGTTCTTTAACCCCATCCTAAACTCTGCAGCAGTATCTGCTCCTCATCTAAAGAGCTTAGGACTTAGTCTAAAAGAATTTAGGGTCTAATCTGTTTTGGAGCAGGCTGTGGTACAGCCAAGGACACAGTCAGGTAGATGGGGGGTGGGAGATGATTCCCCCTGTGCCTGCAGCCTCCTCATTGCTTAATCAGGAGCCAAGAGGGCACCTGAGAGGGGACTGAGCTGTTACAAAGGCCACTCTGGCTCCCTTTCCCTGATAAGGGAACAAAGAACCAGGGCCCCCTCCCCTGGGGCTCCAGAAGGGCATTTCTCAGCTCTTTAGCAGATCTTGCTGCTCCAGGCTTCCCACAGGACAAATCCCAAGGGATGAATCATTAACTGTGCAGCAAGGAGATCCCTCTCCCTCTTCTCTCCCACATCTCCATCCTGCAGCCAGGCTTCTCTTCCCAATGTAGGCAAGAAGGGAACCAGCACGCAGGGGAATGGCCCATGGGAGTCGGGTTTTCCTGGTTGGGTTCCCTGTTGGAGCAGATGGAACTTGCCTTTTCATCCTCGGGGATGGGGATCTTGCTGTCGAAGTAGGTGGTGAAAGGCTCCTCCGAGGAGGTGTCCGGCGGCTGCAGCGGGTTCATGCTGCTGGAAATGGTGCTCACGACCCCCCCGGGCTCCCCGGAGGCTTCTTCTGCAGAGGGAGAAGGGGAAAAGGGTGAAGGAATGAGCTGGGATGCCTGGAAACACAGAACGACCGGGCAAGACCCTCAGGCGGAGTGAAAGGAGCCTGCGCTGCCCTCACACCGCTACAGGCGTGAGCCCAAGTTCCCCTGGACTGTGAGAGGTTCATCCTGGAAGGACCCTGCTGCCTGTGGGATCCCGCATTTCCACAGGGAACCCACGGGACGGCTCAGCTTGGGAAGCAAGCAGCAGCCCTGCCCCTAAAGCAGGAGGGGGGCGGGAGGGGCAGCGCTGGTGGGTTCGGGGTGGGTTCTATCCTCACCTCCTGAGGAAGGAGCCATGGGAAAGCCCGTTATTCCCACAGGTGACGTGTGGAGGCTCGGAACATGGCCCGTTCCCTCCCTGCCCACCTGCAGCCAGAAGCCCCCAGGGCAATACTCACTCCTGCTCTCCCTACGTGGCATCCTGCTCCCGAGCTGTGTCCCGGAGCCCAGCGCTGGGCGAGGAGGACGCAACCCAAGGGCAGCTCTTTTACCAAGCTGCCTATTGCAACACTGGGGTAAACTGAAGGGGAAGGCTCCTCCTTTTCCCTGCCTCCCACATCCCTCCCAGGCCTCCTGCCCTGCCAGCAGCTCCATTTACATAAGAGCCAGAGAGGGATCTGGCTGCACAGGACAGGCTGGTTCAGTGAGAGCGAGTGAGCCCCAGGCACTGGATCTCCTGCTGGGGTCACCTCAGAAGCCTGAGGCTTTGTGCCCACTGGGATAATGGGGTGTGCGGGTGGCAACGGGCATCCCTTGGGGTGGGATTTGCAGGACAAAGGAATGAATTAAATGGAAGCACATCCTGGGTGCACCCCCAGAGCGGGAGCAGCAGCTCAGGGAGGGGATCCTGCCCCTCTGCTGTGCTCTGGGGAGACCTTAGAGCAGCTCCAGTGCCTAAAGGGGCTCCAGGAAACCTGGAGAGGGGCTTTGGACAAGGGATGGAGGGACAGGACAAGGGGAATGGCTTGAACCTGCCAGAGGGGAGATTGAGATGAGCTCTGAGGCAGAAGCTCTTCCCTGGGAGGGTGCTGAGGCGCTGGCACAGGGTGCCCAGAGAAGCTGTGGCTGCCCCATCCCTGGCAGTGTTCAAGGCCAGGTTGGACACAGGGGCTTGGAGCAACCTGCTCTAGTGGAAGGTGTCCCTGCTCGTGGCAGGGGTTGGAGCTGGAGGAGCTTTAAGCTCCCTTCCAGCTGCAGCCCAGACATGGAGATGACAGGCTCCCCGCAGTGATGTATTGGGGTTCAGAGGCATTATCCAGGGTGGGATGGGGAGAAGCTGCTCTTCAGAGCCACATGAAGGAGCTTTAAGGTCCCTCCCACTCCAACCCATTCCATGATTCTGTGCAGGTGGGTGTATGAGCGGATATGCTGTGCCATGGTCAGCCGTACCGTAAGACTCCTTCTGTTCCGTGTCCGAGTTCCCCATGGTTGAACCCTTCCAGTGGCCTGGAACCTGGTTTAGATTGGCCACGTTGGCTGCAAGGGAGAGGACGAAACATCATCAAGAAGGAGAAGAAAAAGCTCCAAGAGAGACACCAGCCCAGCAGCTCCTGGCATCAGAGCGACCTCCCCAACCCCTTTCCAGCTCGGAAGGACCTGGCAGGGCTGGAATGGGGGGAGTTTTGCCTGGGATCTGCTTGGAAACTCAAACAAAGATGGGGGGAGTGGACGGAGCAGGCTGAGGACAAGTCCCTCTTGTGAAACTCCAGCTAAGGAAACAAAGGCTGGAATTTCCTTCATGTGTCAATATCCCATTCCAGCCCTCCCCTTCCAGGCAGGGCCATTACGGTGACACCCCCGCTTCTCAGGGCAGCTCAAGTCTCCATAAGGGCCCCACGGAACTCTTTCATCGCGGTGGAGTTTCCAACCTAAGCCCAGGCAGGAAGCACCAGGACCCGGAGCTGGGCTTGGGATGAAGCCAGCACCCTCCAGGTCACCCCCTAAGCCCCTCAAAGTCCCACCACTCTGTGTTGGAAGGATTTAACCTCCCTCAAAGCCCATTGTCCATTAACACATTTCCTTCTAGGGAGGCCACAAAAGGCAAACATCAGCCAGGAATCCACCTGGAGTGATTTGAACCCATTTTAGCTCTCCCAAGACCCCAGAACCAGCTCCAAAGGTGGGCTCTAACCAGGCCAAGCACCCTGAGATCATCCAGAGGGTCACTGCACCCAGGGCTGGGGCGATGCAGCTCCCTGTAGGCAGGGCTCAGTTGGTCATTCTCTCCCCAAATAGACTCAGGATTAAATCAAGCCAAGTGTTGACTCCAGGATGAGGAAACCCTGCTCCAGGAGCATTCCACAGGGCACAACTCGCCGCTCGTGTCCACCGAAGACGAGGAGTTTGCTTATTCCACCCCTTTTCAAGTGATCCTGAGTGTCGGCTCAGGAATTCCCTTGGGTCATGTGGAGCAACTAAACCACAAGATTCCACATCCCAGTTTTCTGGTGCTCTCCGAGCAGAAACCCCAGGATGAAGCCACACGAGGGCTCTGGACAGACCCTGCCCCTTCCAGGCTGTAACTGCCACCCATTTGTGAAGAGAAACAGGCAGTGGATGAAGAGCAGGTTGGACAGGACTTGGAGTAACCCCCATGGCAGCGGTTGGGATTGGATGAGCTTTAAGGTCCCTCCCAACTCAACCCACTCCGTGATTCCATGATTCTTTGACTCTCCTGCCACCTTGGCTGGTGTTGGAGAGGACAAGTGCCACCTCTCAACCCTGCACAGCAACAGCACCTCTGCTGCGCTCCAGCAGCTCCCGCTGGGACAAGGACAGCCTCAAAGCTCCATCTGCCCCACACGTTCTTCTCTTTCTTCTCAGGCTCCTTTTGAAAGGTCTTTCATTTTGGCCACAAACCACCTTTCCCCCAGAGCTCCATGGAACAGCGCTTACCCCGGGGTGAGTCCCACAAAAGCCTCACTTCAGGAATGAAGGCAAAGGGGAAGGTGACACGGAGAGAATCCGTTACGGAGCCAGATATCTCCTTGCAGAACCCATCGCAGGCTGGGTGGAGCGGAGCTGGTGCCCCTATCTCCACAGAGCCAGTTCCCCCTCGCTCTGCCAGCAGCAGGGCTCTGGGGACACCCCATTGCTGCTCTCCACGGGGAAATGAGGGGATAATGGATGAAAAAGGTTGGGATTTGTCGCTCCTCCTCCCTGTGACATGTGTGAGGATCTTCAAGCAATCCCTCAAGAGCAGGGTTGAGGTAAACCCACTTCCCCCCACTGCTGCCTTTGACTTCGTTCACACTCAAGCAGCATTCCCCGGAGGAATATTCCTTGGAATAAGACAAAAAGCCCAGAGCAGAACATCATGAGGTTACTGTTATCAGCAGAGCGCTGTTGCCTGGACCTTCAGTACCCCACAGCGAAAACAACGGCTCATTTTTCC